CTGACCAGCATCCAGCAACCAGGCACGCAAGTCGCGGCAAAACTCTCCCCACGGCAGCAGCCGGCCGAAGACCAAGACCTCGAAACCACTGATGGCCTCCTGGAACAGCTCCCTGTCCTCCTCCGCCATATCACCTGCCAAGTACTGCCGCTTCGCCAGTCTCAGCCGCCTGCTCAACCGTCTCTCGCGGGGGCTGCTCGCGAGTTTTCCCGGCACGGGGGCCTGACCAGTATCCAGCAACCAAGCACGCAACTCGCGGCAAAACTCGGCCAAGGCAGACAAGCCGGCCGAGTACAATCCTGAAAACCACTGATGGCCTCCTGGAACAGCTCCCTGTCCTCCTCCGCCATATCACCTGCCAAGTACTGCCGCTTCGCCAGTCTCAGCCGCCTGCTCAACCGTCTCTCGCGGGGGCTGCTCGCGAGTTTTCCCTGAACGGGGACCTGCACTTGACCTAGTTATCCTGCAACCGGCACGCACTCGCGGCAAACCTCTCCACGGCTAGCAGTCGTGGGCCGAAAAAGACAAGAACCGAAACATGATGGGCCTCCTTTCCAAACAGCTCCCTGTCCTCATCCTACCCATATCACCTGCCAAGTACTCCCGCTTCGCCAGTCTCAGCCGCCTGCTCAACCGTCTCTCGCGGGGGCTGCTCGCGAGTTTTCCCGGCACGGGGGCCTGACCAGTATCCAGCAACCAAGCACGCAACTCGCGGCAAAACTCTCCCCACGGCAGCAGCCGGCCGAAGACAAATACCTCGAAACCACTGATGGCCTCCTGGAACAGCTCCCTGTCCTCCTCCGCCATATCACCTGCCAAGTACTGCCGCTTCGCCAGTCTCAGCCGCCTGCTCAACTCTCTCTCGCGGGGGCTGTTCTCGAGTTTTCCTTGAACGGGGACCTGACTAGCATCCCGCAACCAGGCACGCAACTCGCGGCAAAACTCTCCCCAAGGCAGCAGCCGGCCGTCCACCAAGAGCTCGAAACCACTGATGGCCTCCTGGAACAGCTCCCTGTCCTCCTCCGCCATATCACCTGCCAAGTACTCCCGCTTCGCCAGACTCAGCCGCCTGCTCAACCCTCTCTCGTGGGGGCTGCTCGCGAGTTTTCCCGGCACGGGGGCCTGACCAGTATCCAGCAACCAAGCACGCAACTCGCGGCAAAACTCTCCCCACGGCAGCGGCGGCCTCCACCAAGAGATCGAGGTCCTGATGGCTCTCCGGGAACAGCTCCTGTGCTCCTCCGACATATCACCTTTCCTGCAAGTATCCCGCTTCGCCAGGACTCAGCCGCATGCCTCATAACCCTCTCTCGCGGGGGCTGCTCGCGAGTTTTCCCGGCACGGGGGCCTGACCAGTATCCAGCAACCAAGCACGCAACTCGCGGCAAAACTCTCCCCAAGGCAGCAGCCGGCCGAAGACAAATACCTCGAAACCACTGATGGCCTCCTGGAACAGCTCCCTGTCCTCCTGCGCCATATCACCTACCTTGTACTCCCGCTTCGCCAGCCTCAGCCGCCTGCTCAACTCTCTCTCGCGGGGGCTGCTCGCGAGTTTTCCCTGAACGGGGACCTGACCAGCATCCAGCAACCAGGCACGCAAGTCGCGGCAAAACTCTCCCCACGGCAGCAGCCGGCCGAAGACCAAGACCTCGAAACCAACTGATGGCCTCCTGAAATCAGCTCCCTGTCCTCCTCTCGGCCATATCACCTGCAGTACTGCGCTTCGCCTCGCCTGATTAGACGTTAACCTGTCTCTCGCGGGGGGTGGCTCGCTCAGTGTTTTTCCGGCACGGGGGCCTGACAGTACTAGCAACAAAGCACGCAACTCGCGGCCAAAACCTCCCAAGCAGCAGTCCGGCCGAGACAAATACCTCGAAAACCACCTGATGCCTCCTGGAACTGCTCCCTGTCCTCCTCCGCCATATCACCTGCCAAGTACTGCCGCTTCGCCAGTCTCAGCCGCCTGCTCAACCGTCTCTCGCGGGGGCTGCTCGCGAGTTTTCCCTGAACGGGGACCTGACCAGTATCCTGCAACCAGGCACGCAACTCGCGGCAAAACTCTCCCCACGGCAGCAGCGGGCCGAAGACCAAGACCTCGAAACCACTGATGGCCTCCTGGAACAGCTCCCTGTCCTCCTCCACCATATCACCAGCCAAGTACTC